GAAGAGCGGGCGTCCCTTCTTTTGCCCCGCTACCGCCGACATCGCCGCCGCCGTCGCCGCCTAGATCGCCACCCTCTTGGCCCCGACGAACCCGTAGCCCCTCTCCGGCTCTGGCGGCTGCCACGTTCGTCGCTTCGCATACATAGAGACGAAGGGACGCGTGTGTGAGTCACAGGGAGTCGGCGCGTGTGCACTGTGCAGCGGAGAAGGCGCCGCTCTTTTGTATACCTATTGAGTAGACTTCTGGTAGTATGGGAGCCTTCGGGAAAGTATAAAAGAGAGCTCGTGAGTCGCGGCGAGAGAGACACGGCGGGCTCTCTCTCTCGGAGCATCTCTAGCGCGCACCCTTTCCTCTTCTCTTCTGCCCGTCTTCCCTCCCGTGCACCAGTACCTGCTCGTCGTACGTCCGTCCGTCCATCCATCCCTCTCTTCGTATTTCTCTCTCTCTCTCTCTCTCTCTCTCTCTGTCTCGTTCTCTCTTCCTCTCGTTTTGACGACGGAGCGGCGAACACGCGTCCGTACGTCCATCGAGAGTGTCGAGAGCTGAGACTCGAGAGACAGAGGAAAATAGTTGTAATACACTCTGCTGACGTTATTGCGCTCCGAGGATCGACGGCAGAGCTGATAATTTTCCATTGTCGGCAATATGGCCCTCAGTCAAACCAGCGTGGTGAGTAGTCTAATGCAAAGCCGACCGACCTTCCTCCTCGCCATCGTCCCCGTCGTCGTCGTCGTCGTCGTCGTCGCCACCGCCACCACCACCGCCACCGCCACCGCCGTCGCCGTTATCGCCGTTATCGCCGTAACCCAAACCCTCGAGAAAAGCACGAGATGATCATTTATTTCCTCCTTGATGAAGATGTGCGTGTGTCGTGAATGTGTTCCGCACGCACCAACCTACATATGCACGCCACGATTCGACGAAAACAATTGTGGCCTTATCGCAATAATGTAGCTCATTTTCTTCAAACATTATTACAAATCTCATGCCGTTCGCGCGCTCAACGTTATATTCGTTTTCATGTATCCGAGGGCTTACGACGAGTGGAGTAAATCTTGGTTAAATTTAAACACGATACGCGGCGTTTGAAAATTCAGGGCCAGAAAAGGGCATTTGGCCTTTTTCTGTCTTATAACTTTTGCATTTAACGAACGAGTCGTGCTCGCTCGGAATTACTACCGAGTGCCACTTAGACCGCCGCCGCCGTCACCATCGCCGTCACCGCCGCCGCCGCTGTTGCTGCTGCTGCTGCTGTTGCTGCTGTTGTTGCTGTTGTTCCTGCTGTTACTGCTGCTGTTGCTGTTGCCGATGACTTATCTGATCGATACATTGTTTTCTATTTTATGTTTTACACCCGTATTTTTTAGTTTGTTTTTTCATCGTCGTTATTATCCTGAGAGGATCCGGCCCCTCTCCCTTCACCGCAATCCTTTATCAATGCGCCCATTCGCCCGTTCAATCGTTACTCATAATCCAGCTGCTCTTTGGCTTCAAGTGTCACTCATCTTTATCAAGACATATGGCTTATGAGTCGTCTAACTTTATTTTATTTTTTATATAGTCTAAGACGTCCTCACTGGCCATCGCATCAATATCATGGTTTACAAGAATTGCTGGTTTGGTCCTCCTAATTTTGCACTTCTAATTACCATTTTTATATTTGATTTACTTCTAATTAACCATTCAGCTGGATGAGTAAACTGTTTTATGGCATCGAGTCTATTTGTTATCCATCCAGCTTGACAGTTTTAGTGACCTATGATAATTTGCATCGAATACATTAATACATAACCATGGAGCTCTATTTTTATTATTGCCTTGGCACGACTAGCTGAAAACGTTTGATTTGTAAACTAAGCCGACAAGTTGATCTTACCCTAGAATGAATTATTAAATTTAATTCAATTTCATTGCGATAGCTAATTTATTAATTTCTCTATAATTGACGATTGATTTTAGTTGAAATTGTACAACACCGTCATAGAAGATGTCATAGCTGGAGTTCGTGAGGCTTTTTTGGATGAGGGTGTAGACGAGCAAGTGCTTCAGGAATTGAAACAAATATGGGAAACAAAGTTAATGTCGAGTAAAGCAGTAGAATTGAATCCTGATCCTCCGGAGCCACAGCCTCCTCAATTAAATGCATTTAAGAATAGCTCGTCGAGTAAGGGTGGTTCCAAAAGTAAGAAACTATTTATTATGTCTAACGCTTGCATTGCCATTCCTTAATTTCCATCGCTTTATTCTAAACGTCTAAATGTCCAAATATTCAGAATTTTATGCTATTCGTTAAAAGTGTTTGAAAAATGATGTCTAACGAGCTAATTCTATCGTTTAGGAAATACAAACACTAACATAACCAATGCGCAAGCCAACATACAACCTCAAGCTCAATCACAAATTCAAGAGTCACCAGCCAATCAACCTCAAATTCAGCAGCAGTCATCTCAGCCTCAGTCAACGCATATACAATCACCTCAACCGCAAGCTCGGCCCCAACAATCTCAGCTACAGCAATCCCAAAATCAACAACAGCAAGTACAACACATTCAGCATATGCAAAGTATGCCAGTTCAACAAGTTCAGCAGATAGCGCAGCATCAGTCCATTCCTCAGCAGCAACAGCAGATTATGAATCAGCCAGCTGCAGCAATAACAGATCGACAAGTGTCGATACAAATCAAACTGCCCATTCATGGGAATCTGCCCGAACGATTAATAAACGTTCACGTTCCAGCTTCTGCGATCCAAGGTAGTGTAGAAATATCTGGCTCTTCCTCTTTCGCCGTTGTTAATTAAAAATTTCCCCATCTTTGCACGATATTGGAAAAGCAACCAATCCGGTTTCATCGTACGCCTATCATAAGGAATGACTAAATGATTCTTGCAGGAAATCAATTGCATGCAATTTTCACCGGACCAATCATTACAGCAGCAATAGCTTTACCCGTACCATTTGCAACATCCTTACTGCAACAGCATGTCAACTCAACGTTCGAAGGCTTACCCGGTTTCACACCCGTCCCAGTTCCCCATCCGGTGCACGTTGTGCCTCAAGGTGCCAATAACATCATGCAACAGCAACTCATCCAAGGGCAGGTACGATATCAATTGTATTCTAATCATATTTACAAAATAATTTTGAAACGGATAATTAAATCATGACAACTTGTCCTAATAGATTATCTCTGGGTTTCAGCAACAAGGGAATATTGCTCAACTGGATGGAGCTGTGGGAGATTCGTCCGACGAGGATGACGATGAAGAGGAAGAAGAAAATGATGACGATGAGGATCTTGACGAGGAGAAAGAGGAAGAAGAAAACGACGACTCTGGCGCAAGAGAAGAAGTTAGTTGTTCGCCTATATGATACTCCTACTATTCTACTAATTGCTTATTCAGTGCCTAAAATATAATTATCTTGTATATAGGAACCTTTAAATTCTGAGGATGATGTAACAGACGATGATCCCACAGACCTTTTTGATACTGATAATGTAGTAGTCTGTCAATACGATAAGGTAAAGCATTGCATAATTAAGCGATTACAATGATATACTAATATTTCAATGTAATATTTATAGATCACGAGGAGCCGAAATAAGTGGAAGTTTTATTTAAAAGATGGCATTATGAACTTAAGTGGTAAGGACTTCGTTTTTCAAAAAGCCAATGGCGATGCTGAATGGTGAAAACATACGACGCAGTGTCGATATTAAGAAATATTTTGTAATCGATTACTGCTGGAAATAATGGACTGAAAAACAGCTTCGCTGTTTCTGAACTACACATTCGCGAGTTTATTTTGGTGATCATACTATGAAAAGAACCTATGATTTTGAATTAATTTGTTATTTAATGGCGTGCAAAGAACATGTATTTAGTAATTAATTAAAAACAATTAATGTTGATTTTTCTAATCAGTGGATGTGAGCCGATTTTCTTAATTCGAAAAAATTCTCTTATTTTGTTTGTCTAAAGGTACATTTAACATAAATTATAATGGCAGTCACGTGGACGACTTGGAACTTTTAATTTAAAAATTGCCCAAATCAAAGAATGTGAAAAATTAGAAAACAACTTTTAAATTCAAAGCGATAAAATGAACGTGCAGAATCATTGCTTATAAGAATACGAAAAAAGTGTCAAACTTGAAAAAAATAACTAGGATTATGCTCTTTTTTTGCTGGGTTTTTTTTTTTTTGGAAATTTCATTGTTTATTGTGAGAAAAGTGAATAATTGTAAGTGCATATTGAACCAAACTTGGCAGATAATGATTTTACAACAATTTAAAGATTTTAATTAACTATAATTACGTTTGTAAATATTAATAACAATATGTATTATGAACAAATTTAAAATTTTAAATCCTTAAATTGTTTCACCGGACTAAAACTTTCATTTTTTGTATTGTCAATCTAAAATTACCATATAAAAGTTCGATATTTGTAACAATCAACGTTCAAGGGCACAAGTGCCTTCGTTAGTTTTGAAATTTTTCGAATTCGTGAATTCCGTAATTTGTTTTCTTAGTGACACGGTGGACGGGAAAAAGTTTCCATTTAAACAAATACAAAAATTTAGCTTTATATATACATTATATTAATCTCAATTTTTATCTCGCAGAGAATGTAATGAATGTGAGTGTACATACATGATTTATCGAGGGAATGAAAAAAATAGGCGTTTTGAGAGTTGTGCAAATATCTGATAAATAAATGTGTCTTATATTGTTATTATCATAACATGAGTTATTTTTATCCTTTATTTTTCATGAAAATAAACGACAAAATAATTACAAATATTGAATTTTACGTTTCATTTTTGGAGTTCACATTTCCTGGAGTGCAATAAAATCTGAACAGCCTTTACATTCTAACGATGATCTTCTAATGAAAAAATTGCTTTTAAATTTCTTATTCCAAAGCAGCGGCTCCAGAAATGATTTCAATAAGCTCTCTAGTGATGACGGCTTGTCGAGTACGGTTAAATGTTAATGTGAGCGAATCAATCATCTCTCCAGCATTCTTGCTCGCATTATCCATGGCTGTCATTCTGCTAGATTGTTCGCTGCATGCTCCCTCTTTCATCGAGTAGAACAGCATAGAAGCCAAGGAGAACTCGAGGTAGCTTTGAATGACGTCGTTATCCAGTGAATCGTAAAGGGAGATTTTAGAAGCGCTAGTGACAGATTGTTTACTGTATAGTGGTAACTCGTCAATAACGTAAGATACAACCGATCTAAACCTATTGAAGATAATTTTACCAGATCCAAACGAATAGCTGAAACCAATTTTATTTTAATTAACAAAAATTAAGAGTCTCGAAAGTAATTTTAAATGATTGCTTCAAGTATCGTACTACTTGATATTGAAAACACTTACCCACTATTCATAAGCTCAATGGTAATTTTGGCAGCATCATTAAATGTCGGAGGCTTACGACCCACTTCCGTAGCAACAAAGAGAATATTTTTTGCAAACAAACGCTGAAGAATAGCACGAGACTTCTCTCCTATGCATACAATTTTTGTGTTCTCGCGTTCGCTAGCATTAGCTAGGAGCGTATCACGAATATTTCTCGAAATACCAGTGTGTACTGCACCACACAGCCCTCGGTCGCTCGTTACTGCTACCATCAGCTTATTTGTATCTCCTTCGACAGGCGTTACTTCAGCCTGTTCATAAAAAATCTTAGATCCCTGTCCCAGAGGCTTAGCTTGCTTTAAATCCCTTTCAGCTCTGTTGTACTTGGCTGCGGACACCATCTTCATGGATTGTGTAATTTTCTGGATATTCTTAACAGACTTTAGACGAATGGAAATTGATTTTAACGTTGCCATACCCCGCTGCTGCGTCTGTTGTTGCTGAGCAGCAGTTAGAGTTAAAAATTTTATTCCTTGACAAAGCATGGTGGCCGCTTAATCTATACCTATAAAAACAAATTTCGTTTTCAAATTACCTCAAACAAATTATCAAATTAAAATGCTAAACAATAATTTCATCTACATTGTTCAAATTTCTTTGAAAATCCAACCGTTTCTAAAAAAAAGGCAATTAACTAATTCACTTAAAATCACTGGAATTCGATTGAAAACAAAAATTTAAGTTTTTTAAATCCTTAAGACTCTATTAAAATTTCATTGTAATATAATAATCATACAACGATCATTGAGATTAGACTTCTGCTATCGTTTGTTAGTAATGAACTGTACACTGTCAGCATATCGCTGCCACTAGCATTAAACTGATTAAATAACAAAGTAAATAATTGGTGGCTCATCGGCAAATAAAAAATACGGCGATAATTGTTGAAACTCTACGAGATGGAAATTTGCACCAAATTACCAAGGACCACGACTGGCCGGTCGGCAAATGATCTCAGGAAATTATACGGCCAAACATTACATACGCAAATAATAATGAAATGGAACAACAACAACAATCGAATAATGGTGGCGGGAGGGGTGAAATGTAGTAAATAGACGATTTTTAAAAGCTAGAGTAGGGCGACAGTAGCAGTTATGGTTGCTTTTATGTAATCATAGGAGCAACAATTCATACGACTTGCCTTGGTTGATGCCTTGACGATCGAATTATCCATACACACAATTACCTCAGATGACGACTACACGCGTCACTAATTGTACTTACAAGAGTATTCAGCAGAAAAGGGCGAAAATCTCGCAAAGTACTCCTACTGGCCACTATCTCGATCCAACATGCACGAAATGGAACCGGAGCTCGGAATAATTCGTACGTCGGTCCGATCACAACGAACAAGAGAGGAGGAATCGGCCAACGACGGCGTAAGTCCCGAGTCTGCTGTCGGTATGTAGATACGATGCCTTATCGACGGAGCCGAGGCCCTTAGAGGCGCCTTCGCCGTCAGTTTCATCTGTTTTGCGCGCGCACTCCGTGTATTTATTTGGGGCTTTAGAGCTCAGCGGTTCGAAGGGGACGACGATGATGGCCACCGGCTAAGAGCGACGTTGTGCCGTTGTGCTTAACGAATTCTTCATTTTCATCCAAATGCTAAGGAGCCGCGTTGCGTAATCGAAGTTGCACAAGGGCTTGTTTCCTCCGTTTCTTCGGCTGACGTTTAAGGGCGTATTAGAGCAAGATGCCGTGCGAAATGATAACCCTGCAATTGGGCCAGTGTGGCAACCAAAGTAAGCTTTTATTTTTAATGGCATTAATTAGTCTGTTTGATTTTTCTAATTCGCTCTCGGTCACCAACCCGACGCACTTGCTTCCGCTTTCAGTTGGCTTTGAGTTTTGGAAGAGGCTTTGCGCGGAACATGGTATAAGCCCGGAAGGGATTTTAGAAGATTACGCTACAGAAGGGACTGACAGAAAGGACGTTTTTTTCTATCAATCCGACGATGAACATTACATACCTCGAGCCGTGCTGCTGGACTTGGAGCCCAGAGTTATTCATACCATTATGAATTCTCCGTATTCAAAGGTTTTTCGTATAAATTTAATTTACTATTGTATGCAAGCGAAGGTGACATTGAATTTGTTCTCTCTTTTTTTTTTTTAATTTTTCTTAAAATCCATTCTCGATTTTTAGCTGTATAATCCTGAAAATATTTATTTATCTAAACATGGCGGTGGTGCTGGAAATAATTGGGCATCTGGCTACCATCAAGGAGAAAAATTGCAAGAAGAAATATTCGATATTCTTGACAGAGAAGCGGATGGAAGCGACAGCCTCGAGGTATATGGAAGTTTGTCAATTTACTATTGACTCATTGACGGAATTTGTAAAGTTTTAATTTGAATTTTTACTGTTTGCAGGGCTTTGTCTTGTGCCATTCTATAGCCGGTGGTACTGGATCCGGTATGGGATCGTTCATGTTAGAATCTTTAGCTGATAGATTCCCTAAGAAATTAATTGAAACCTACAGCGTATTTCCAAATCAAGATGAAATAAGGTAGGCTATTACAATTTCAAGCGACCGATGAGCCTTTCTAATCAAATACAAATAAAATTTTAGCGATGTCGTTGTACAACCTTACAATTCATTGTTAACGCTTAAGAGATTAACGCAATGTGCAGATTGTGTTGTAGTTCTTGATAATACTGCATTAAATAGAATAGCTTCCGATAGATTGCACATTCAAAATCCCAGCTTTACTCAAATTAATAAGCTGGTCTCAACAATTATGTCAGTGAGCACCACAACTCTTAGGTAAATATATTTATATTCCATTTCCATTTGTACATCATTGTTTACTTTATGGCTTTGAAAATCTAGATATCCATCGTACATGAATAACGATTTGGTTGGATTAATTGCACCGTTAATTCCAACGCCGAGATTACATTTTCTAATGACGGGTTATACACCCCTTACCACAGATCAAGAGGTAACGCATTTACGGAATTCAGAATAAAAGATTCATTTTAAATTTTATTTCCACTTACATTTGCAACAGGGCGCGTCCGTTCGAAAAACATCGGTATTGGATGTTATGCGTCGCTTATTACAACCAAAAAATATGATGGTTTCTACAGCATTGGATAGAAATGCAGCGCATTGCTATATTTCCATATTAAATATAATTCAAGTAAGATCGATCGATCTTTTAAACTGCGATATCTACTTACGCTATTTATTAACTTACAGGGTGAAGTGGATCCAACGCAAGTACACAAATCTTTACAAAGAATAAGGGAAAGAAAACTTGCTCAATTTATTCCATGGGGACCAGCCAGCATTCAAGTTGCCCTGTCAAGAAAATCTCCGTACATTCAAAGCACTCACCGTGTATCAGGCCTTATGTTAGCCAATCATACGAATATTTCTTCGGTTAGTAGCCCTAAAGCTTTTCATAAACTTAAATATCCACCAAACGTTTCATAAATGAAACTTTAAAAATACGTTTTTATTTAATATTTACTAACGATATTTGGAATACATGGCATTATATGTACGACTTAACATGCATATCACAATATCTGAAAGCTATTAAAGTTACTTAAAATGTGCTAGTTCTATCATTGAAAAGACAAAAGGAGTTCAATTCGTCTCTAATTACTTATTTGTAATTTAATTTTTTAGCTATTTGATAGAGCTCTACAACAGTACGATAAACTTAGAAAAAGAGAGGCTTTCTTAGAACAATTTAGAAAAGAAAAAATGTTTGAAGATAATCTTGATGAGCTGGATAACTCACGAGAAGTTGTAGATTATTTAGTAAAAGAATATCAAGCTGCGACAAGATCAGATTATTTAACATGGAGCCCAAGTAAAGCAGATTAAAATTATTTATATCGAACAATACTCCATATAATTTGTTTACTGTAAATCTTTATGATTCTGTTTTTCTTCTATTATACGTCCATGACATTTATTTCTTTAGATATTAAGGAAGAATTATTTTATTAATAATTTTGTATAAAATTTATTGCAAATAACAAATCAATTAAAAATTTAGATTATCTGTAAATAACTTATACCTCTTAAACATTTTTAATAATAAAAATTCTATTGATTTTATTTCAATTAAAAATAAAGTACTTATTAATATTATCTTTCATCAATACATTCCGGCGGGAGAATCGCAATAGTTATAAATCCAGTATGTCCTGGAGTTGACGATGGATGTGAAACAGTTGTTAACTTAGAAGGTTCATCAAATTTTGTTACATTTTCAGCAGTCTGAAAGAAGCAAAAATTTTCGTTTCGCCTAAGTTGGACTTGCATTATTATTGTTTTAATTCAAAAAATAAGAAAATTTGACAGACCTTATCCCTCAAATATGCCAAATTTAATACAGACAAATTTTTTTGTTGAACTGTCAATTCCCTTTGTAAACATTCGTAGGTTTCTATTGATATGAATCCCATTGATGATAATTTTGCACATGTTCTTTGAACTTGCTCGATACAGGGGGAGAATGAACACAACTTTCCACCTAGACAAATTTTAAATTATTTTACTATACAAAATTATTAAAACAATGACAAAAAAGAATGTAATTACCTTTTCTTTTTAATGACTTGATAGCAAAATCAATGGTTAACCATGGATGAGGTAAATCTAGAAATACTGCATCAACCATATCGTCAAGTTCATCACCAAAACCTTCCGTGCAAACATCTCTATGTTTTACGGTAACAAACTCGTCTATACCATGATTTTTAAATTCTTCTTGGGCTAATACTACACGTTGTTCATGAAAATCAAACGTATGCAAGTGCCCATTTGGCCTTACAGTTCTTATTAAGGCATGAGACAGTGATGCGCTACCAGTTCCTAATTTAAAATTATTATTGAATTAATTTTACAGATAAATGTGATGACTAAAATATAAATGCAAACGTTTGTATCAAAGTTAAATGAAAACCTGTTTCAATCACAATACTTCCAGGTACTAAATCCAAAAGATAAATTATCAAACTTATATCAGGTGTGTAAATAATTTGTGTCCGATGTGGAAGAGTCAAAGTCCATAATTCTGGAGTTGGTTGTAAAACATACGCCCAACCTCTTGAAAGATCAACTTTCGAGCCATACCTGATTCCCACGAGGGATAAAACTTTCAAAGCCCCATAAGTTGTTTGAAAAACATTATCCACTAATTCACCTTTTTTATTCACTATTTTATCTTTCACCTCTATTTGATGCATATTATTCGGATTTATATACAAAGTTACTACATCCCCGATCTCAATAAATTCTTTATTATTTTTAAAGCTCATATTGTTATAATTTATAACTTCATTAATTTTAATAATATTTTATACTACTTATAGAATGCCTTTTAAATTAACATCCCTCAGAATAAACTGGAACGGATATGGTTCATCGCATAGTACAACGCCAAATCATCACACGTGGAAGGAACCTCGTCTATCAAACGTCAATCACAACGTAAACATAACCTAATCAAATATCTTTATAATTGGTATATAAAAATTTAATCTAACTATTGAATCAATTTCTTCGCATTAAAGTGGTTATTATAATTAATTATATGATTGATTAACGTGTAATGTAAATTTTTAATTAAATCGATGCCGATTTAAATGGCAAGGAACAAAGAATGTAAACATGTACGGATTAAGTGCGCGCGCATTTTTGTACGTCTGCGCAACAATCGACCCAAATCGAAATATAATAATCGAAGGTACGCGCACTTGCGTGTGTACGTAAATTGCATGCTTGATTTTGTGTGCGCGAGTGTGTGCGTACGTGTACATAAATGTATATAGTCATTTACGCCGACAATCTATCAAGATACATTGTTAAACTGGCATTTGGCAGAGGGGCGGAATTTGTCTCGTATTAAAGTCGATCCATGAGAAACTAAATTAGAACGTTCCTGGCAAAATTCCATAAATTAAATTAATAATGGTAAGCTTAATATATCAACATTTATGGCCAAAAATTTTCATTCACTGAACTATAGCTGCTTTATACATATCTAAAGTGTTACTAAATATTAAAGTACTTAGTTGTTTCTTTTTCAAAATAGATATGTATAATGAATTGATATAAGTGTAAACGAAGAAATTTTAATGCTTCGATCGAACAAGCTTGTCTATTTTATTTAATCTGTTGTTTACAACTATAATGTTTATAGCTATAACTCTAATCCTAACTAAGCATTAAACATTTTGTTTCGTTCCAATTTAAAACAGATTCGTTTCATTCTAATTCAAAACAGAGCAGGAAAGACAAGATTAGCTAAATGGTACATGAATTTTGATGATGACGAAAAACAAAAATTGATTGAAGAAGTACATGCAATTGTAACAGTTAGAGACGCTAAGCATACAAACTTTGTCGAGGTTAGTATGATTTCAATTGCTTCAGATTATTCCATAAAAATTAAAAATACCCTTTAAATAATAGTCGTGTGTTTTATTGTTTAGTTTAGAAATTTTAAGATTGTATATAGGCGCTATGCTGGTCTTTACTTTTGTATATGCGTCGATGTGAACGATAATAACTTATGCTATTTAGAGGGAATACATAATTTTGTTGAGGTATTGAATGAATATTTCCATAATGTTTGTGAATTAGATTTGGTGTTCAACTTTTATAAGGTAATAAATTTATCTGATAAAGTACAGAATGAACTTCTACTGTAAAATTAAAGGACTTTGCTTGATATTTTTGCAGGTTTATACAGTTGTAGATGAGATGTTTTTGGCAGGAGAAATTAGAGAAACCAGTCAAACCAAAGTTCTAAAGCAATTATTAATGTTAAATTCTTTAGAATAGATGTATAAATTTAAAAAGAGAGAGAAAAAAAAACAACCAAACCATTGTTTCTGAAGTGAGACTTATTCCATGGATCTAACAAAACTATATAAAAGTATTTATTTATATAAGATCAAAGTAAATCATTACATTTACGACACCAATTGTTGTATCTAAATAATTTTTAAAGATATATATATGTATAACTTTTCTTTAATAAATGTCAAACGCATTGATAAGACTTTTGTTATTTTACATTTCTCGTTATTATTTTTACTTCGGCTCTCTTTTCAAGCTAATAATCTAAAACATTAAATATGCAGCAGTACGAAACTAATAATCGACAATATCGGCAATAATATAATTATCGGCTGTTATCGACATTTTTTAAGTTATTCGTAAAGCCGATAGATGTAGACACTTGACGCCGTTCTCCGAAGATTTTTTAACATAAATGTAGCTACGCAATTAATTAGTGGTTGTACGAATATATTAATTATAATTGGGTGGTTAAAACCGTCGGTGAAGATAATTCGTGCGCGAATCATCGAATTATAATCGTCGTATTGAAAACCGAAGTTAAATTAGCAAATAATGATTTTACCGATTATACGTAACTATATGTTTTCATGGAATTCAGTTGGTGGCCCTGAACGCGCCTCGAAGACAATCATAATCTAACAAGAAGCATATGACGTACGTATAAGTTTTTTTTTATACATAAGCGGAAATGAAATTTTCTAACATATTTCTGTTAGTTCTGTGACGTTTTCAATTGCCAATGCCTGATACTTTAAAAATATAAGAATTTTAATAACAACAATATTTATTCAAACGATCAATCGTAATATTATTGGCGTAAACAAAGTCTTATTGTTGTTTTAACTAATAAATTACAACTACTTTAGCGTAAATAAAAGAATATTTGAAAAATACCTTTTTAAAAGAAGTTTTATCAATCGTCGATAACCGATCGTTCGGCACGATGATTTACAACTAATCTCTAATTAAACGATCCTACGGTACTTTTCTCGTCTCCCCATTATTTATATTTGCATTGTAATCAGATTTATAATAGCAGATTTCTTGTTGTAAATTATTTTTATTCCTCTAATAAATTATGAGATAAATTTTTGATAAATGAGGTCTATGATTATGTAGTTTAGTACAGCCATAAACGTATATAACAGTAAATATAATTCACTGAATTTGTATACCGATTACTCGGTTAAATCATTCTTCAAAACTTTATGGAAACGAAATTTCCAAATTTTTTACACTTGTCTATCAGCCTCATTAAATAATCTTGTGGTTGAAAACACAAGAGCTCTTTATCAATGTACATGGTAACTTCAACATTTGATATAGAAAATTTTATGGCGATTAGTGTAGCCCCTAAGCTCATTGAAACGCCTACGACGAAACGTAGAATGTAACTTTGACCTTTTTGAAAGTTACTTTAAATTGTGTTTTACCCGACGATTGAATTAGTAAATAAGTGGGATTGGATGAGGGGGGGGGGCATCGAAGTAGGCACTGAATATTCGTGAAGAAATAGTCGGTCACACGTAGGTATGTTAATCTTAACATAAATCTTTCTTTTTTTTTTAAACAAAATTTTAATTAATTATCAAACGTCCCTGCGATTGAGGATGTTGATCGCAATATATTCATAGCCACAAGCTTTATATTTGTGCTCTTTATAGATAGGCTTAAATATGTAATTGTCGGCTATAAAAAAAACTGACTGATAATTTTTGTAAATAGACTGGATCGACACATTTTTATAAAAACAAATTTATAATCTACAGGAAATTGATTACGAATAGCTTTATCCGGACTATATTTCAACTTAAAATTTTATATCAAGAATAAATATCCTTTTAATTAAACAATGTTTTTTAATTTATAAGAAGTGTGAGTCCTCTAAAGCAGTGAGATTTCGATTGCGATTGAATTGGATATTATTTAATTAATTTCACTTTATAATTAACATTAAGTAGTAGTAGTAGTAGTAGTAGTAGTAGTAGTAGTAGTAGTAGTAGTAGTAGTAATTGAAGCTATAATAAGTAAAATGAACAATTCAGCAAATTATTTAATATTTATAAATTGACTACAGCTTGAAAAAATATTATAATTATTATAATTTTGCAATGAATAAAATAGTTTAAAACTTTTTAAAATGTTTAACAAATTATTCGTTCGATTTAATAATTAAAATTGCTAACATATTTATTGGGATTTACAACTGGTAAGCAAAATAATTTGTAAACACGATAAAAACATCTAAGACAATATTATTGAATGGTAGTAAATATGTAAATAAAATAATATTACAGTCGTTGAAGAAAAGAAAAAAAAAGTGTATTTATATAAATTAGGTGAGACACGCGCAATGATGTGTGACGTTTACTCATAAGTTAACTGTCGAAATTATACAACCTGAACTTTAAATAAATGAACACCTGTCGATCAATCATAAAATGAAACTCATAAACCTTCAGCGATGAAATTAATTTCACTGATTCTTTTATGAAGGGATAAAAAATCTTATATGGTCTCACACGTGACTGATAAAAATAATTCGAGGATTTATTCAGAAAATTGACTATCAATCTTATTCCTCAATCATGTCCGAGTTAACGCATAATTGAAAATGAAAATTAATGAAAATATACTCTCACCGCTAATAATACGATAATTGCACGGCCGAGAACATTCGGGAGAGATCGCGAAAAAAACCGGTCCAATTAATTTTCAATGATTTAGCATTTAATACTAATTGGCCGGTGGCGCGGTGGGAGTGGTGAATGAAATTTTCGATAAAAAAAATCTGAAAATTCGTGGCCCAACGTATGCAAGCAATCGCGATAAATTTGGTAGAATTTTCAATTGCGCGTATCAGTTTCGAAAAAAAATTCACGATCCCAGGTGACGTAAGAAGATGATGGTTGTTGAATCTCCTCCCGTACACCAGCACGTAAATATACAAGCAAGAGTCCAAAGTAAATTTTTATAGAATACCATAACGAATCTTGAGAGACATTAACATTTATCATCATAAGCAAGGAATAAATAATAAAAATTTAAAACGAAGCGTAACGAAACGCTCGTAACTTTCAACGCCCGCGCGGAGACACACATGCGACACACATGATTTTTGTTGCACGCAAAGTTGCAATAGTCAATAAACAAGGGGCTCAGCTTGGTGAAGAGCGATAAGGTCTATCTCGTAAAAATCATCCCTCGCGCGTCCGAGCGTCGCATCGAAGCTAGCCGATAACCACCTTATCAATCGTCTAAATAGCCCGCGCGCGGACTCCGGTCATTTAAGAATGAGTTATTCTCGTATTTCTCCGTAGTGCGAGCGATGGGTCAACACGGACAGCGAGCGAGCGAGCGAGGGTGTGCGTGTGTGCCTGTGCGAGACAGGCGCACGGGGTTATCGAGCTCGGTGTACGCACGACGCTTCCTTCTCATGCGCGGGGTTATCGGTAAACGCGCACCGCAACGGTTTGTGTAGTGTCGGCGAAGCCTGCAAGTCGATATCGCGCGTCGCTTCGCCTCGATGCGCTTCTCTTGAGCTAACACTTTCTCATAATATCCACTGTCCGCGTTCTACCCGCGTAATAGCCGGGCACCTCGTCCCGAAGAGGGCGAAGAGCCCGGAAAAGTGGGATCGACGCAGCTTGTTGCCCGTTCGTCGGCCGTGTTGCGCTACAGCGATGATACACTATTTCGTTAAATAGGAGGCTGCTTTGATGGAAGGCCACCGTGGTCGTCCGATTCTGGGAAAGCTATATGTCCTCCAAATAATCTAGGGCTTTTCTCGATAGATGTATCATCTTATCGCCAAGTGGCTCTGATTTTCCCACTGAATCGTTTCAGGTCTATCCAACTTTTCTTATGCGTCGTGTTAAGCGCCCCCTCCCCAAAAAAAATCCACAAACCGCCAAAATAATTAACAAGTTTTTATGGAGTCGTGAATATGGTCACTCTTACATTGTGTATAAGATAGATTTCGAGTTGGAGGAATTGTCGCTGTGAGATAAGCACATTTGCGATCTCTATTTTTTCAGGTCCGTTCAGTCGGTTAAAATTCGAATGTTTAAATTCGAATTTGTACATATGTACTCTTTGTGGGAAAAAGAGTGTACGGATTGGCGTAAGTAGAGATAAAGGTGGTTAAAGGGGGAGGGGCAGGCGGAGGTGGTTAGTAAAATAATTATGAATTATCGGAATAATTAATTAGTATTAGCACGTGTTGAGTTAAAAACTCTCCGCCGTCTCGTTTCTTTGCTCATCCGCCCACCACAATCTTGGTCGCTTTAACGTACGATATTTGATGTTTATCGAACAACAACAAAAAACGTCTCGAATCTGTTCCGACACATTGATCGAAAAGCCCAATGTCCAAATCGCGAAACTCGAATCTAAGATCAATAAGGCGTCGAGAGTGTGGGGGCGATAGTCGAGTGTTCATCATCATCTCGCGACTCGTCCGAATGCGCGCAGCTGACAAAATACCGATTAATGCTTGCGGATAAATTGATCCGAAATTTATTTTCACACGTCACCTTCGAACGAAGCGAATAACGTATAACACGCGCGTTCACCTCGGTGATTCAAGTAGATGAACAATCCCAAATGGCAATAAGGTGTGCGGAAGGCGCTGCGAGGACCAAGAGGCCCGCGTGATATTGTAAAAGAATCTCGAGAATTACGATGGGTTGATGGGTGAGGGTAGAGGGAAGGATAAGTGTGGCTAAAACCGCTGACATTCCGGCTTTACGTCCCGTCCAAACTCGAACGGGCATATTAAATAAAAAGAAGGGGGGAAGCGAGGACCGAACGACTTCCGCGAATGGCGTTTGGAGTCGCGCGTGTTGTCTAGGCTCCTGGATACATCTGCTCACGGCGTCGCGCCGCACGCAATGCGAGAGGAGAAAGACCCGGTCGGCCATGCCTCGGACCCTGAGCTCTCAATCCTTAAAAGACGACAAATGGAGGATGACTCGAGAACGGGTGCGCGCCCTCTGAAGATGCGCCGAAGATGGATTTGAAGGGAAGGAAGCTGCCGCTCTCCGTAATTAAGAAAGTCTCAGGGCCGACGAGATAATAGGAGAGAGGGCAGGGGCGGATTAGGCGGCGCAGTCCACGACGAAGGACGAAGGGGTAAAGGGGCTCTTTGTGGACGAGGAAGAGAAGAAGGAGGACTGAGA